CTGTAAATAAATGTAAAAAATGCGTGTAGTTTGTAGAATAAATGTAATTTACATGTATCGATTTTTTTAATGTTAATAAATATATGATTCAAAGTCATGTTCATCCTCATATCAAGTGTAAGAGTGAGCTAATAAGAAGGGAATACGATATATAACAGCAGAAGACACAATGAACGATGCATAATATTACCTGTCTATAGATTTGCATGAATATTGATTTATTTTGTTGATAGCTATCATTTATTGTCAAACATTTTAGATATATCTGCTGATCGATCTATAATATCTATTATATATTGATTGATTATGACGGAATATACAGCCGTTGAGCTTAATCAAGATGTTGGATGTTATTTACTAAAATTTATTGATGGGCTAGACACAACAAATTTTATCGAAGCAGTCAACGATAGTCGACAGTTCTGGTCTATTGCAAAAACATCAGATCATCATTTTATTGAGATGATCAAAAAATTCTGTGGTTCCCAAAGAATTCGATTGCCACGTGCCCTATTTGAAGACTTCACAAGTGAGTATGAGATCGATGATGAACAACTCATTACAGTCTCAAAGCACTATTCTGATGTCATCGAGCCGTCTGAACGTCTATATATTCATCCATGCTTTGGTACTGAAGGTTTTACAAAGTTGTGTGAAGTTTATAAGACTTCTCTTTTCAACTGCTATTCTCGACTCTTACCATTGAACACTGTTTGCTACTATTACAATGCAGATTTTGGACTTCTTGATTATGAATGGTATGGTCATACAATTGGATCCGAGCGTATATTAAATGAACACGAAAAAAAATTATTCAAAGGTAAAAAATAGCGAATGTAAAAATAATATCTAAAAATTGATGGTTATAATTCATTTTAGTTAATACTTATTTTAATAAGAACCAAGATCGAAACTGTTGTTTGAATATGACATTTGTACGTACAATGGAAGAGTTCAAACAAAATCTGGCTACACGTTTTTCATCAGATACATGGCTAAGAGCAATAGACTTCTCAAAGTGGGCAATTATTGGAGGTTGTGTTCTGAATGCTTTATGTCAATCACCATTTCCAGATACTAAACAGCAAGATATCAACTTAGTGTACTATGTAAATGATATATTAGATTTTAAGAGATCAATAGACGATACTGTCAATAATCTTTATAAAATAGTTTCACAAAAGTTACACAATGAAATCAAAATGGAAAGAATACCAGGAACACCTGATTACAACGTATTTCTACCCGGTCATATCCGGCTTAACTTTACTTGGACTAGTTTAGGAAATTCAAAAAATCCACTTTCACATATTCTTCACAATTTGGACATGGATATTTGTCAAGTAGGTTTTACTGGTAAGTCTATAGATGTTTTAATCTTTTCTTTATTATATATGTATAAAAAATTTAGGAGATCGAATTGTTTCAACGTTTCCATTCTTACAAGCACTTGCAACAAAATCATTAATTGTTTATAGTCTTCATGCTCGAAGCCCAAAGCATTTGTGTACACGTATAGCAAAATATTGCAACAGAGGATTCAAGCTTTTACAACCTATTGACTTCGATGGTGATTTTGATTTATTGATGGCACAAGAAGAAATTCCATTGTATCGCATTGAATATCATCACTATATTGATGATGATGGTGAAATTCAACTTGCTACAAAAGAATATCGTAGAGGATTTCTACACAATATCGATACATTTCGACTTCAAGAGAGATTCATGCATATGGTTTGTCCTCAACTATTGCAATATACATAACATTTATCAAACAAATATCTATCAGCTTACTAATATTGATGAAAACTTTGATATTAAGTCGGGTTCTTTTTATTGTCGATATTTGTAAACCCAGGATGATGGTTCCTGAAGTAGAATTCCATGAATTTCCGACGAAATTCGTGTGGAAACTCGCCATTTACTAGCGGAGCCCGTCCGAAAAACGCCAGGAATCCGATGGAGAAGTGAGGTACCCGTATTCGGCAGCCGGTTTGGACATGTTCCTTCTGGTTCCGGTCCAAATTAGATAAATCCGGTTACCGAATCCGTTCGACGGGAATACCGCTTCCACGAAATCTCCGGAATATCACAGAACCGGTCGTTTCCGTGCCAGATTGTTCGATCTGGGAAGGTATATGTTCATTTGTAAAGAGTGAAATAGAAAAGATAAACATGAGTTTTATGTCAATACGTAATCTTTAATATTTATCCTCTTATTCATGTTTTTTTTGTGTAATTGATCATCATCCATATGATGATTAGTTAAATGCGATGTGCAAAATGCGTGTGTTAGTGTTTATATTCTAATTTTATGTATAAATATTAACAATTACACTAGTTAACATATGATATGAATAAAATTTTTCTGAAATTGTCATTTATCTATAGGACTTAGTTAATAATATGTATTTATTTTAGATTTTACTAACATAACTATTCATATCTACATCGAATTTCATTCATTTGAAATGTCTCAATCATCAAGTAAGTGCCATGCTACATTTGTTTTTCAAACTCATATAATATCATATTTCTCTATATGACAGATTCAACAATAAACACAACTATGAACATTTTCTCAGATATGTTAGCAATTACAGCTGATAATAAAGTAAGAACTAACAATACTATAATTATCTAATATTTTTATTAATATGATAACAGGGCACTTCAACTGAAACAGAACGTGGAAAGAAACGAGCTGCTCCTTTATTGCCTGAAGATCAAGTAAAAAAGATTATGACTAGCCATCAGGGAAGTGGAGGACGATTTCCAAATGGTACTTCAACATCTGACGATCAATTAAAATTTGTTAGTGCAGCTGAGATAGCTGCTAAGGCTCGTATAAACGTTCAAATGATGCCCGAAATTTCTGATGAAGAACTACTTGAAATGACTATTAAATTCGAACAGGAACATCCACAATAATCTTCTTCAATGATTTGATAAAATGCAAACTGATCCATAAACGAACCATCTTTTTTTGCTGTGTCATTGTAGTATTCTAGTTTTGTTTCTCTAATTGTCGTAGTTGTTTTTGTGTTCGAACTATGTAAATATACATTACTAGTATTTATCAATAAGCATTATTATCCATGAAAATAATTTTAGATTAGTAATACTAGCTAGTAGTAGCAGCTAATGAGCACATCGTAATACATCAACATTGATCAAATGAACATTTTTCAACAAATAAACATCTGTGAGTAAATACGATAGCTTATTCCATAAACTTTTCACAATAATTAGGTTATCATCACATATGACATACAATTTTTACCTTATTTATTTACAAAATCCATGACTAAATCTGTAAGTTTCAATATATTTCTTTGAGAAGATATGAATTATGTTTTGGAGAATTTACTTAATCACTAAATTCATATTTTTATCAGTCAGTATTTATAATCTGGCTATGAAATGGCCCAATAACAAAGAAAATGTTTGTGATTTGAAGAAACGAATGGTTGATGTCGTATGACTAAGATTCATAGCTATTCTACTGGTAAGTAATACCTTGTATTATGAAATCTATCTATTAATTTATTTATAGAAATGAGAACGACAATCGATCGATTATATCCAGATATTTGGCTGCAAGTATTTGAATATTTTAATGCTCAGGAATTATGTTTTAGTCTCATACACATAACTAAACAAGCTGATGACGTGTTATTCAATATAAATCATCGCTTTTGTTTACGTGGACTTGTTCTTGATACGCATGTTCAAATTCTTCCAGAACAACTTTTGCTTCGTCAAGTCATTTCTCTCGAAGTGCATCAAAACAACCATCTTGACAACATTCAACAATGTTTAGAACTTCGTTCGTTAAAACTTATCGGTCATCCAGAGTGGATCATTTCTATCCTCGGAAAAATTTCACAGGCTAACTCGAAACTTGAGCAACTAACATTAGTGATACCTGGCATTGGTTTGTTGCACAACTTATTCGCATCTATTGCATCATTATTATCATTACGTCGACTAGAAATTTATGGAGATCAATTGGAAGAAAGAATAAAAAATGGTACTTCATTCTTGACACAAACAAAAATCGAACAATTTATTTTACATTCATGCTCACCAATGAGTTGGAATGATTTATCATCCATGTTACCTGGGCTGTTCAATATTCGCTTCTTGGATATTACATTGATCCATCTTAGCAAAAATTCGCTTTGTTCATTTGTTTTCCCAAAGCTTCGATCTGTTTCTCTCATACTACTTGAAGTCCCATTTGACTGCATCATTCAGCTTGCAACAACAATGCCTTCTCTCGTGAAACTTAAAATAAATGGTCTCGTAGATGCTGAAGGATTTGTCGTCAATAATAAATGGCTCAATCTATTAGAATCTTGTTCGTCTCTTATAAAAGTAACTGTAAGTCTTTCATTGGAACAAGGCACAAATTGTTATTATAATGAACTGATCCAAACAGCCTTGCATGGACTCAATTTAAATTTAAGATACATCGATGACGATTACGAATATGACTTAGACAGAGACAATCAGTTTCGTTGGTGGAACTTGTCGGGAGTAATGATCAAAAAAGGTGGACATATGTTTGAAAAATATCAAACACCGTCCTAATTGAGTGCCGATGTATTACTTGACAGTTTTTAAAAACTAATGTACGTCTCCTTTGATGTAAAATGTCAATAATTGCATATGTAAGCTTTGTCTTTTTACATAAAATTTGAATATATTGTCTATTAGAAACTTTCTTGTAAAGTAACTTTATTTATTCATGTTTTTGTGATTTTTATGCGTATAAATAAAATCTTAAATAAGTTTGTTTCAGATTGACTTAAAATGAACGACATTAGTACTAATAGAAACCAAATTGGCGTTGCTGGCTTACACACATGTCAACATCAACCATGTAGCTGTGAAAGAGCTACTCGGACTAATCAGTTCCTACAGTTGTTGAATCGCTTGGCAGTAGCATCAACAGCAACAGATTATGAGGAACAAATTTCTGCTACTATAGCAACAATTTGTGCAGTATGTACACAATTTTATTTGATGTTCAGTGCATAATTCATTTTAAACCATTTTAGGATGAGACTTTGGTGCTACCATTACGACTATTTTTGCCAAACGAATTCGATGAACTCAAGCACACTATTGATACTATAGCCCAACAATACCTGAAACAAGCTAGCAAAAGTGTTCAGCATTTAATTCCTCTCAGAAGTCTCGCCGACGGTAACTGTTTGTTCAATTCAGTTGTGTCTCTTGTACCTGACTCTGGAGTATCTGCTGTTGAATTGAGAGGTTTGTTAATTTACTTTGTACTATAAAAGCATATCGACGCTGAATTGATTAACCTTATTTATTTAATTTCAGTACGAACAATAATTGAGTTGGTCAAAAATAGAACTTACTATGATAATCAATTTAGCCATCTAGTTGGTCCTTTTAATGAAGCAATTCGAAGAACATGCAACAATAATAATTTTTCTGAACTCTATGAAGTTGTTGCCCTCGGCAATGCATTACGATGCGAGGTACAAAGCGTATATCCATATATCGATTATCGTGGTGAAATGGATAAAATGAATGCCGTGTACAAGCCATTGGACATATCTGCTCCAAATAATGGAAGATTAATCATCTTTTGGACTAACAGTGAAGATGAAGTTACAACAAAAAATCGTCCTGGTAGTGGTGGTGTCTGGAGCCCGAATCACTTCGTGCCGCTCATACGACCTTGTGAAACACCAGAGGTAGATTATTCAAGAATATAAATCAAAAAGAGAAAAAATTCGAAATTTATTTCTGTTTAGAGCCCACAAAAGACAACGATTAAGAACAACAAAGTGACATCTGTGCGAAGTCCAGAGTTTTCACCGCCTCCTAATATCAGAAAGCGTAAAACTTCGTTTTCATTAGTTGAGGCATCATTATCAGATCTAGAGACTAACGATGTTCGACGAAAGCGTCAAGAGAGAACTACCGCAAATGAACAGAAGCGAAAAGACCGTCTTATTGCTGACAGACTGCGGAAACGTAATTCTCGAGAAAATGAAAGTGAAGAACAACGACAACGACGTCTTGCCACCGATCGACTATCAAAAAGGACTGCTCGAGAAAAAGAAAGTGAAGATCAACAACAGCTGCGTCTTGCCACCGATCGGCTATCGAAACG